TCATAACTCAAATTTTTGTAGAGTGCACCCTATAATACTATACTTAAATATTGTGCAATACTCAGAGCTACCATTGTGATTTTTTCAATTTTTTTTGAGATGGCATATATTCAAAAACTTTTTTTTTTAACAAAAGATTTGTATGTGAAAAATATTTCAAGAAAAAAAAGTTTTTTTAACACTTTTTTTCATAGAGAGTTTTGATATGTGTATGTGTAATTTTTTTCAAATTTTTTACTCAACCCGTTCGCGAGATATTTGGAAAACTATTAAATCGATTTGTTTTTGTTTTTGTACTGTAAAGTTTCTAAAAATGTATTAATCCAGCTCAAATTTCATATTTATTTATTATTTATGTTTATGCATCAACCCTAAAAATTTGAAACAAATCAAACAAATGAAGTGTGAACCCCGTGCGTTTTGGTATGGAACACCCCATATATTGTGTACTTCTGAAATTATGGTAAAATTGTTCTGAATGTTAATCTTTAGCGTGGTGTAATGAACTGAAGGTGACGCATTCCCGAAACCTTTGGTTTTGCTGACTTTGACGTTTATGGCAATACGTAAACAAACTTTTTGCTTAGAAACAAGTGGCAAAGTGAATTGTGAATTTCAAGTGGAAAATCGCAGTAGTTCGTGCTTTTTAAAGAAAAACAAGTTTTATTCCGTATAAAAACTTCATAAAAATGTCGTGTCGTGTGCTTAATTGCAGCAGCCGTAGGCGTAAAGCCCCCAAATGCAGTTTTTTTTGTTTCCCCAAGACGACACCTTGGCCAGAAAGTGGGTAGAGTTCTGTGGAGAAGCCATACAATTTGGACACCAGCGTAATATGCATGAACCACTTTACGGATAAGGATTCCATGGGTAAAAATCATTTACTTGCTTCGCCGCGAAGCCGTGCCCACCGTTTTTGAGTGGGAAATAGATCCTGCTGCGGTGTATGAGTCAAAAAATGACATCGTCGAGGAGGTCCTTGAGCTACAAAATTGCGAAGGTAGCAAACATTATACGATAAATATTATATTATTAATGTCAGTGGTTTATTAGTTGGTTTAAATGAAGGCGATAAAGAATATCGGCCCAGGGACGGTACTGCTGATGCTTCGACATCACCTATTCGTAACTGGGTGTACTATGATAGTGATCTTCACGAAGTGGAAGTGTACGTTAATAAACAGATCTTAATGTGTAAATCTAATAATATCTTATATTTCACCTGCTTCAAGTGAGACATTCAAGCGCGAAAAGGAAAACGAAAAGCAGTGCACCGAACTCGCTGCATTGCAGCGGGAGTCCGACCTGCAATTGAAGAGGCACGCGTGGAAAATGGAGTCACTGCAAAAACGTTTGGATGGAATGGCTGCCGAAATGAAAAATGTGGAAGTAGCACTAGCTTCCATCTTTACCAAAGGTCAGATAGCAAAGCTGAAGTCTGGGTCGAAGCGACGAAAATGGGAGGAAGAGGATATTGCGAAGTCAATATCGTTTATGCTGCCAGTACGAAAGCATACAGGTTGCTATATAAGCAATGCCTTCCACTCCCGCATACTTCAGAGTTGGGCACAAAAACTGGACATTTTGCGCGGACTTATAACCCCAGTCTTCCGGTTATTGGCAGCCGCTACCCACATGAATGAGGCACAGAAGTAAGACTATTTTACTGTTATGATGTTTCGTAGGACTTAACATTAGCCCCCGTCAACTCCGTACAGGTAGGGATGTTAAGAGGTAAACATTATAATCAAGATTTTAAAAGAATATAAAACCTTTATAAAGACCTTTTATATTTCAGCTCTCATGGTAAAGTGGAAACAGCCAATCTTTTATGACTTCGACTGCAAAATGAGTTAACATGATTAACATTGTTAAAAGAAGCAAAAACATTTCAAGGTTGCTCTAAACACAAGTCAAACAAGTTAATAGCACACTGCGTTGCATAATTATAAAACCGAAACATATTTCCGTTGATTTTTAGATTTTTTTTTTGTTGACAGTGTTATTAATTTTCTTCCATATAAAAAAATGTCACATACTTTGTATGGAAGAAAATGAGTGACACCGTAAAAAAATGCCAAAGATAAACGTTATTTTGTAGACATATGAAACTCGCAATTTATTATACTTAAATTGCATGGGTTATAAAACTGTACACGCAAAACTTTTCACAAAATTCTAAAAAAAAGTGTAAAATTTTGGCGAAAAATTCGCTGAATTTTTATATTTGCTGAAAGTTTTAAATGTGAATTTGTATGGTGTTTGTTATAGAATGAACTATATTTTTATAAGAAAATATTTAAAAAGAAATAATATAAAAATAAGTAAATAGCTGTTTTGTATTCAGTGTTGGCAAAATGTTAATCTGATTAACGATTAAAAATTAATGAATAAAATGTTAATCGCGATTGACGATTAAAATTAATTAATAGTAATCAACTGAGCGATTAATGATTACATTTTTTTAATCGTTAATCGCTGGCTGCGATTATGATTAATTAATTTTAATCATTAATCGTCAATTCTATTAAAAGGAAAATCTTATTAGGTTGTCGAGTTTGTCCGAATTTGAAACCAAACACCAGTTATAGTAATTATTTTGTATTTTACGCTTATAAAAAGCACATAATATAAAAAAATATATAATTTTTCTTATTAGTAATACATAAACTGGGAACTTTTACAACCCAGCGCACAAGTGCAGAGGGATATTAAAACCTAGTTTGTAAAACGTTGTTGCTATAGATCTTAATGAAAATGCACACCAAACCAGATTGATGAGGAAACCCGACTAGCCATACCCGATTAATTGGCTTTGTGTGCATAGGAAAATTCCAGCGTAAATTAATTTATCACCAAACCTACTTAATCAAATTAAGGGTTTATATTTAAAAAATCTTATTTTTTTTTAATCGCGGTTACGATTAACTGTTTAATCAGATTACAATTAATCATGATTAACTGTAATCGGATGAAATTTAACCGAATTAACTAATTGATTAAAAAATCAATCGATTAGTGCCAACACTGCTTGTATTGGATTAAACACGCCTGCGAAATCTAATTTTTCCCCGTTCCAATAATTATTTTATTTTTTAATATCTAGGTTAGGGCTGCCTAACCTGTCCTGGTTTTACAGGATTTGTCCTGATTTAGACAAATTGTTCTGGTGTCCTGATCCACACTTAAATTGTCCTGATTTTTTAATGAAGACCAATGCAGGCACTCCTCTAATTTTTAGCAGATTTTTGCTATGAAAAAAGGGTACGTCTTCTGTCATTAGTAGTCGAAAACTGATAACAAACCGTTTTTTCTAACATGTTGAATATCTTCTTTCTGTTTAGTTTATTTAGTTAAAATCTTATTTAACTGAGGTCTCATACATACTTAAATACTTCCCAGTAGATAATATCAGGAGCTAAAATCTTATCCAAAAGGCCTTTCTGAAAGTTATTCCTGTCTCCTTAATTTTTTGTATGGAGCGGCACAAATTGAAGGGCTTCCGCTTTCGCTACTCAAAAAAGAGCTTTCAGAAGGGCTTTTGTAGGACGCCGTTTGAAGAAGTTCTTTGAAAGTGTTTCTTAAGTTATAAAAATCATACATCTTTAAGGAATTCATTTAAGGTTCATATCTAATAGTTGTATTTAGACTTGCAACGCCTATTGAATCTTATTTGTAATGCTAAGTAATATAACATATACTTAAGTATATTCGCGTAAATTGTAAATAGGAAACACCTTTCTAGGAAGCATGCAGTGAAGCACTTTTTTCAGTCCTTGTTGGGTGAGTCTTTTAGAATGGCTTCACTTAAGACAGCCTACCTAAATTATCTGCAGGTTATGCATATAAAAATTGGCAAAAATTATCATAAAGTGCGTTATAGGATATGCGGAAATTCGCTAATAGTAGTTAGGCAAACATTCAAGACCACGTTAAAGGCGCCGTTTTTTCCAAGTTACGTCACCGTCAAGATAAATTTGTTCTTTTATAATTAAAAATTCTGAACTTGAGCGTTCCATCATCATAAATCAGGGCCTGTTCGAGGCACGTAATAAAAGCGGCATTACTGCCGTACTGATGAAAAATGGCAACATTGTTGCAAGGAATATATTGGCACCATATCCACTTGTATCTTCTTTTTTGATTTGGATGATAAGTGTCTTAGTCGATGGGTACAGGATTATGGCAGCCGTAATGTAGATATGTTAAATTAAAATACATCCCTAGTCATTTTCCAGCACGTCGAGATTTATTTTTACTGATGACATGTACTTACATGATAGAATTTTTAGCAATTTCCATGAAAAGCTAAAAGTTAATTAACTTAGAATAGAATTTTTACTTTAAAACCAATAGTATTAGTAATAATACTCATAAAGAGCCTAAGTAAATCAGAAGGACTTATGTTATTTCAAAGTTAACGCTAGTAATGCTCGGAAATGCTAAGAAGAATTATAAAAAAAAATTTCTTGAAAAATTTTCGTGACGAAATTTGTATTACATTTTTGGTAGCGTGATACCTATACATACCCAAATAGCTAATTAGCTTTTTAAGGGGAAAACCTGTGCTATTTTTGATTATATACTTGGATTTGAAATAACACATTGTCTAAAATATTTTAAGCAGAATTGCGCTCCAATGCAACGAACATACTTATTTTATGTCATCTTACAAAATCTTTTATCAAGATAAAAAATTCCCATACACAAATTTTGCCATTGATAAAACTTATATATACATATGTTTGTGGCAAACAAAATGACATACGGCAGGCAATAATTTCCGCCTGTGGAGACGCGTCGTTAACTAATCTTTCAATGTTGTAGAGGGTAAAATATTACTGAGGAAGGCTAAAAGGCGGTTACACTGTTCAACTTTCACAGGCGATTAGTTGAATCAAAAGTTTACATCATTTAACTGAAACTTGAACAATGTAAACGCTTATTAAATACAATGAATGTGTACGATTAGAAAATAATAATATTCTGAACGAAATTTTTTGAAAATTTCATTACTGCTATAAAACTTGAAAAGGAGGACAAGGAGGACATTTTTGCTCATAAGGGGGATAGAGAAGGACAATATTTTTGAGGAGGACAAATCACGTTTGAGGAGGACAATCCTCCTCAAAGGAGGACGGTTGGTCAGCTTACTCTTTAATGACCTAGGCGTAACTGAAAACCAGCCGTGGTAAATAATCACAATAAAACTTATTGAATACAGTTCTTACAGTACTTCTCATTTCCATAGGTTTATTTTCAATGACCAAGGGATTTACGTTTTCGCTGACGTTGGGAGGACAATCCTCCTCAAAGGAGGACGGTTGGTCAGCTCACTCTTTAATGACCTAGGCGTAACTGAAAACCAGCCGTGGTAAATAATCACAATAAAACTTATTGAATTCAGTTCTTACAGTACTTCTCATTTCCATAGAATTATTTTCAATGACCAAGGGATTTACGTTTTCGCTGACGTGCCGCACTTGCTAAAACTTTTTCGAAATCATTTCCTTGATCAAGGTTTCCTAATTAATGGGAAACCTGTGAAAAAGGAAATAATTTTGGAGTTATTGTCAATTACAAGCACGGACTTGACAATAACTCACAAGATTTCTGCAAGTAACTTGACCGTGGCTGGAGCTCACCGCCAAAAGATCAAGACGGCAGCGAAACGATTTCCGCATACTGTGGCGCAGGCCATAACAAGGGCAGCAAGTCTGGGTTATTTGCAGAACCAAAACTGGACCGAATGCTTCAAAATTTTATTGTTGTAAACTGTATAAAAAATATAACCACATAACCAGATAACACGATAACCAGGCGGGCGTGAACAACCACAGTATTTTACTATATTACATATCGTTGTCTTAATTCACAAATTGATACTATTTTTATAATGCTTTTTGCTTCTCCTGTAAAATAAAAAAAAAGTTGTTTAGGGCCTTTGTGAATTAAGGTAACTATATATTTAAACCTCAATATTAAAACTCACGTTCAAATTATACTCCTTAGACACATGACTGGGTTGATGTTCAAAATGTTAGGGTTCATTACGTCGACTCCAGGAAGCGGTGTCTTGCTTACGGGTTTCATGATCATCCTGATCAACAGGAGGACTTACCTGCTAGGACACAACTTACGTACTTACTATACCTGCTAGGACACAACAGGGGCGTATTATCCTAATGTAGAAGAGGATGATACGCCAGACATAGAAATCACGCAGCCTCTGCTTGCAAGTAATTTAAAATAATTGTTTATCTATTTCATCCAGCTTAAATATAAAAATATATTGTATTAATAATAATTACACATATATACTTTGCCATATTTTCAGGTATTTTGCTGAAGAACTTAAGTTCTAAAGCAGAACTGTGGCCGGTTGAAGAAGCGGAATTCGAGGATTTAGAGTAAGACAGACTCGAGAATTTAGCGGGATATATTTGCCACAAGTTGCAGGACGACATTTCCAGCACGTCGTTTAGGAGCAATGACGACCAACGACCCAACGAGGCTCCTCTATAATGGTCCATATGCGAAGTCTTGAGTCAGTGTTTAAGGCATTGAACGAAGACGGCTTGCTTATTACCAGGGAACGGAATTTATGGAAATTGCCTTTTTTCTGCTAAAGAGATAGAGTATATTCGATTAAGAATGTCCACGATTTAGCTTTCCCTGATTCCATATATGTATACACATTTGATGTTGCCTTTTTTAAGATATTCGCCTTTTTTTGCCTTTTCTACCTTTAAAAAAGTGATTATAGCATTTACAATTTTTTTTTAAAGAATACCTAATATACACATGCCCATGCCGCTTATAGAAAAATTGAAAGCCGTTTTCTCAGCTAGCGTAGGCTTGGAGACAATAAGGGGTGTGGATAAAGTTGCAAAGGGCGAGGGAAACGACCTTATTCCTGATAATACGAACATTTCAAACGTTCCATATTTAAATTGGGCTTCACTTGTATCAACTTGCGTCGAGCGCACATTTAGTACATTCAAGGCTTTTCTTCGCGAAAATCGAATGAAAATGCTGCCAGAAAACTTCAAAATGCATCTTGTGGTTCAATGTTACTACATATATACAGATTAAAGTTTTATGAGTTAGAAACTCGAAAGGATAAAATAGTCAAAAGATTCAAAGTACAAATTTTTCATATAATGAACCTATACCTTTTCCAACTGTATTTCAGAGAAACGCAAATGTATATCAGAAAACCACAAATCTATTTCAGAAAAACTCAAATGTGTTTCAGAAAAGCGTAAATGTATTTCAGATATTCAATATTCCTTTCAGAAAAACGCAAATGTGTTTCAGAAGAACTCAAATGTGTTTCAGAAAACAGCAAATGTATTTTAGATATTCAATATGGCTTTCAGAAAAACGAAAACCTAATTCGGAAAAGCTCAAGTTTGTTTCAGAAAACCACAAATGTATTTCAGAACACCACAAATCTATTTCAGAAAAGCGGAAATGTATTTCAGAAAAATTGAAATGTGTTTCAGAAAATCACAAATGTATTTCAGAAAAATACAAATGTATGTATGTTCCCAAAATTTGTATCCCCATCGTCTTCCCAATTAAGTGAGAATTATATAAGCAACGACCAAACAGTACTTGTGAGTGTGCGAATTTATTAAAAAACAAGTAAGAAAGTCTAAGTTTGGGCGGAGCCGAACATTAAATACCCGGCGCAATTATTAAATATATGTTTTCCACCTTTCCGAAAGCTGCCGCTACACGATAAGCCGGGGTGTATAAATTTTAAGTAAATTAGCGTCCTTAAATTTCGAAATATTGCAGTTTAAAGCATTTCTGAAATATACCGTTATATGAAAAGCGTTCGTAATTTTAGTCCGATTTCAATAATTTTCAACGCTTTGCTTTTATGTGGCAAGCACAATAACCATACCAAGTTTGGTACAAATTGCTAGAACGGTTAGCGAGATACATATATGTGATCATAAGTGGGCGGTGCCACGCCCATTTTCCAAAATTGTATCATAAGCGTATTTCTTGGTAAAAAATTGTTGCCACCATCTATTTTGAATAAATAAGCTTTAATATTTACTGATTTATCGAGGATTTCGTATTTTTCTAAATTACCGTTATATGGGATGTGGGCGTGGTTATTGTCCGATTTTAAAAATTTTCGGCCATTTGGTATGTTGTAGCAGGACCAACAACTGTGCCAAGTTTGGAAGATACTGGTGCAGCGGTTACTAAGATATAAACATGTAACCATAAGTAGGCGTGGCTACGCCCATTTGCCAAAATTTTTTAATATTCTTCTTTTTCGTCTAAAACTCATTGTAAATATCAATTTTGAGTGAATTATCTTCAGTAGTTACTAAAATATCGCACTTTTCGTATTTCTGAAAATTACCGTTATATGGGAGGTAGGCGTGGTTATTGTCCGATTTCGCCCATTTTCAATACCATCCGTCCTATGCCCAAAAAAAGTCCACGTACCAAGTTTCGTTAAGATATCTCAATTTTTACTCGAGTTATCGTGTGCACAGACGGACGGACGGACGGACGGACGGACAGACAGTCACCGCTTAATCGATTTCTCTTTTCATTCTGATCATTTATGTATACATTTGTCTATATCTATCTCGATTCGTTTTGCCTGTTACAAACAACCGTTATGTGAACAAAGTTATAATACCCTTGTGCACAAGTGCGCTCGGGTATACTAAGTAAAAGAATTGCATTCCTACAGGCATGTCGCGTAATGCCAAAGCATCCGAGAAAAATGAGTGTTGTATAGCGCGAGCACAATCCGCAGTAGCAATGGTTTCTTTTGCTTCGTGAATTACGCCTTCCAAGTACTGCAAATGCCTTTCGACCACTCCAGGTCCATTCACAGCGGGTAGTGAAATATGCGTTTTTACGTAAGCTTTTGTTTTCGTCCATACGTTTTCGATGGGGTTGAGCATTGGCGAGTATGGCCCAAGACGCAAAGTGTAGCCGATCCATTATTGGCGACAACTTGCTCCAGTCCAGCATGGCAAGGTGCATTGTCGCACACAATAACTAAGTCCGCCAAATTATTTCCCAAACCGGTCCACTTCTCGAGAATTCCCTTCACTCACTCTCCAGCACTCTCTTTTTTAAAAGAGCCGCGTCGCGTTTCCATCGATAACACACCCGCTACGCTTACAGCACCGATTAAATGTACATTTGGTCCTCTTGATGGCGGCAGTAGTACTGCTGCTCGCGTCCGAGATCGTGCGCGACCTTTTGCAAGACGACAAAACAAGTTAAAATTGGTTTCATCAATGTAAGCTATTTGCTTTCCTTGCTGAATAAAACCACTCAAAGCTGTTACAAATTCGGAACGTTTCCGCTTGTTTTCCAACGTGTTCATCGTCGCTGGTATATGGTGCACGCTTTTGAGGGTGAATAATTTACCCTCTAAGTAGTTTGCAGCGGTCGATGTGCAAATATGTTTGTTAAACTCCATTTGCACTTTGGAGACTAGCTGCTTTAAGGTGACAGTACAGTCTTCTTCCACCCAACGAACCATTACAGCTACCACATTTTCAGTCAGCTTCTTTTCATTCCCTCCACCTCGTTTTTGAGTCACGACTCTGCCGGATTGCACCGATGTGTAAGCAGTTTTATAAACTATATCTAAAGATGATGCTAAACTGCACCAGTCTTCTCCTTTATTAGCGGCCTTAACAATCCGCAATCTGTCCACGTTGTTATATTTCCTGTAACGAGTTTTTTCCAGAACCTCGTTATCTGCACACAAAATTTTTTTTGTATGCATAAATAGGTAAATATAAAATGCTATTTATTTATTTGGATGTATATGTTATTATATGTACGAGTACTTACCTTCAATACCATGTTAGCAGTTTTATAAACTATATCTAAAGATGATGCTAAACTGCACCAGTCTGCTCCCTTATTAGCGGCCTCAACAATCCGCAATCTGTCCACGTTGTTATATTTCCTGTAACGAGTTTTTTTCCAGAACCTCGTTATCTGCACACAAAAATTTGTTTATATGCATAAATAGGTAAATATAAAATGCTATTTATTTATTTGGATGTATATGTTATTATATGTACGAGTACTTACCTTCAATATCTCCTCGACATATTGGACACTTTTCTTCTACAATGACAGGTCCACTACATTTTGCGTGCAATAAATGTCCACATGGAAGCAAACGCACGACTGGTTTTCTGCGCATGTCCATCATGCAAATCGTGCAATTATCCTTTAATTCCGTTTAATAAATTTATTACTCGTTACCGCATAAAATTACTATTGAATATTAACTGCGTATTATATAAAATATTAGTTTTTTTTTAAGTTTATCTCCATGCATACTACATACATTAGTAATTGCATTTTCTAAAGTATATACTTTTATGGATTTCTGAAATACATTTGTGTTTTTCTGTAATACATTTAAGTTTTTCTGAAATACATTTTTTGATTTTGTGAAACACATTTACGCTTTCCTGAAACACATTTGAGCTTTTCTGAAAAAGATTTGTGGTTTTATGAAATACATTTGCGGTTTTCTGAAATAAAATTCAGCTTTTCTGAAATGGGTTTGTGTTTTTCTGAAAGGCATATTGAATATCTGAAATACATTTGCGGTTTTCTGAAACACATCTGAGTTTTTCTGAAACACATTTACGCTTTCCTGAAACACATTTGAGCTTTTCTGAAATAAATTTGTGGTTTTCTGAAACCCATTTAGGTTTCTCGGAAATACAGTTGGAAAAGGTGTAGTTCATAGTTTTTCTCTTTTTACTTGTAATATAAACATTTCTAAAATAAATGTATTTTTTGATTGGTCTTCGTATTTTCTGTCTTTTTTTAGTGATTTATTTTGCCTTTTTTGCAATACCTAGTGCCTTTTCCTGCCTTTTCCGCTATTTTGTTTTGCCTTTTTTGCAATACCTAGTGCCTTTTCCTGCCTTTTTCGCTATTTTATTTTGCTTTTTCCAGCCTATTTCGTTATTTTATTTTGTCTTTTTTATAGGTTTTTAGGTCCTAAAAATCCGTTCCCTGCTTATTACAAATGATTTTGTAAAAAATCACATTGAGCATACTGCAAAAATTCAATGCGACATTAAAGTGAACAAAATTATTTTTCAGGGCAAGAGTGTTCTTTAAAATACGAAAATTAAATAAAGAACTCTTTGAAAATGCCCACAAAAGAAAAGGAAAAGCCAAAAAACTCTGACTATATGATTTATTTATGCCCTTTTCATACATACATATATGCCAATCAACAAAAGATCCTTTTCAGGGCCGCAATTATGTTGACACAGAGATCAAACTTTTATGTTTACATACGTACATACATATCGCTCATTTACTTCAATTAATTAATATCATAGTTGTAGCCAGTGTTGCCACTTGAAAATATTATTAGGCACCAAAACGCCTACCAAATCAGTTTGCAAACTACCAAACTTTTTTTCCTCATTAAAGCTAGATTCCTTGAATTTACGGGATTTTCAGCACAAATTAACAGCCAAAATAAAAACTACACATATTATTGTTTACAGTATTAGTTAACAATTCATACAAATTTTAATGTTAAACAAAACAAATTCGTGCCTTTAAATAAAAGAATTTACTTATTCCATA